AATACACTTAGAGTAAAATTACACATGTGTATGTGTGCATATATATTAATAAATAAAAATTAATTTTAAAAATTAAGCAAAATGGCAGCAAGGAGCAGGAAGGGACAGAAGAAGCACAAAGGTGAAGTAGGAGAAGGAACAGAAATGAGCAGGAAGGGTCTGCAAGGAGCAGGAAGGGTCTGCAAGGGGCAGCAAACAGAAGGAAGGGTCTGCAAAGAGCAGAATGGACAGAAGGAGCACAAAGGTAAAGGAGCAAAAAGAATCAGAAGGAGCACAAAGGTAAAGTAGGAGAAGGAGCAGAAAAAGGTAGCAAGGAGCAGAAAGGGACAGCAAGGAGCACAAAGGTAAAGTAGGAGAAGGAGCAGAATGGGTCTGCAAGGAGCAGAAAAGAATCAGAAAGAGAAAGGAGTACCTTTAAGCAGAAAGTAGCAGAAAGGTAAAGGAGCAGAAGGAGAGAAGACAGTGTCAGAAGAAAAAGAAGACTGTGTCAAATGAAGGAGAAGAAAAGGAGATTGGAGCAGGAAGGACAAGTGAATTGAACCCTCCACTTTATTCTGGACACCACATCATAAGGCTTTGATACCTTGGCCTGGCAGGGAAACTTTGGACCTTCTCATCTCCGCAGGTAAAAAAAAAATAGTGTTAATGTGTTCACTTTTATTTACTGATTGTCAGGAAGCACAGAGGGCCGCTGGGGAGGGGTGTCTACTCTAAGCCATCAGTAGCTCCCCATTCATAAAAAAAGTTAAAAATTTTTATGAACCGGGAACTAGCGATTGACTTAGAGCGTCAACTGACCACTCTAGCCAATCTGTAGTACCCATGCCTGATGTTAATCTGCACTTCCTGACACTCTGTTTCAGAAGCCGAATACCACTGAGCGACCTGGAAATCTGGAGCTGGAGGAGGCCTTTGAGGTTAAACCATTTGAGAGCAGTTTAGCCCCTTAAAGGAAAGCGAGCACCCAGGGGCTTCCTGGCATCATAGCATTTTCATTTAGATAAAGTTGTTATGGTGACCAGAATGTTCCTTTAATTTGCTTAAAGGAACACTATAGTGTCAGGAATGCAAATGTGTATTCCTGACACCATAGTTGTGAAAACGCTATTCACCCTGGCTTTATGTGATAATAACTATGCTCCTTCCCTTCATGACACTGTCAAAAAGGGGCCAAGCATGGATGTCATTATAATTATGCCACCTCCCCGAAAAATTCCTGGACGCGCATGCACCCGGGGCCGCTATCAGGTGGTGACAACCACTGGTAATCCTATGTGTGTCCGGGCCCCCCGTCCTCCAATGTGCATATATATATATATGGTGAGTACCACTATATATATGCCCCTGCAGGCCCTGCTGACTTTCAAGCGGGGCCCAGGATATACTGACCTCTCGCGAGCCGCGGCTGTAAAGCGTTGCAGCAGGTTGCCGCGACAATGCTCGTGACACGCAATGCATGCCGGGCTCGCCCGGAGAGGGAAGATGCAGACTGCTGGCCCCTCTTTGCTGGCCTAACCAGCCCAGCTGAACCACTGGACCACCAGGGAATCCAGTGTTCCCCCTCCATGACTGCAGGTAAGAGGCAGGGAGGGGGGAATATATTAAAAAAATGTTTTTAATAAAAAATAAACAGCAAAAAAATAACCCCCAGCACACACACACACCCCATCAAACAGACAAAATACACCCACTACACAAACACACACCATCAAACACACAAATTACATCCACCACACACATACAAACTGCATTCACCACATAAACACACACAGCATCCGCCATATAAACACACAAACTGCATCCACTACACAAACACACACATTATGCACTACACAAACATCATCCACTACACAAATACACACATCATCCACCACATAAAAATGCAAACTGCACTCACACTACATCCACTACACAAACACACACTCTGCATTCACTATACACACACAATACATCCACTACACAAACACACACCCTGCATTCACTATACACACTCTATCCACTACACAAACATACAATCTGCATCCACTATAAACACTGCATCCACTTTATTCATGCACTTCCCATCCACTACATACATTCTACAGCCACTATACGCACACCAAATTCAGTACACACACACACACACACACACACACACACACACACTTCATCCTTGTGGTAGACTCAGGATGGGCCCTGTGGGTGGATCTGGGGCTGCATCAGGGGCCACAAAATGGATGTGGGCAGA